ATTATGTGTCAAGTTTGACCTATCTGTTGTTGCCCATTGATCAAATTCAATCTCATCATCATCTTCAAATTCTCCAAGTATATCATAAAGTTTTTTAACCAATGCATTCATAGTTGCTAGGCATTTTTCACATTTCCTCATCATACAGCCTTTATTAGTTATATCACAGACAATATAAGGTAACAATTCTTTGTATGTCACACCAAGAGGATGTAAAAGCAGTTTCAAATTCTGATGAATAGCACAGACGCATACAAAATTTGTTCCTGAGGTACCAACAGTGATACACCATTTAGGTCGCAAGGTGCAAAACCTTGAAAATCCTCTTTTTATTTCTGGGTTCTTGGTTTTAAAGGCAACAAACAATTCCTTTAGATTACATAAGAGCAAACGTTTTTGCATGTGGACATTTTTTTTTATGCTTACATAGTCCTTTTTACCAGACATTATACAGCTATGTTCATCATCTTTGTAAAAGGTCTTGACCAGTTGAACTGTTACATAAGGAAGAGCTTTTCCTAATTTAAGATTAGGCATGGTTAAAATGCCTTTTTCTAATGTTAACTTACGTGCAGTTCGAGCTACATAGTTTGTTACATGCAATATTTCAGATTTATTGACCAGTCTGTTGGAGCAAGTGTCGCAAGTTGTACTCTTTTTGATGTTGATGTAGACTCTGCAATTTTGTTAGTTAACAATAACATCATGTTATCAAACAAGTTTGCTTTTTCCATATACTCATTGTTAAAACTTGACTGTTCCTTTTTTTTAATGGAGGTTGTTAATGCTGTCAATTTTTGTTTACCTTCTCTAATTTTACCTTACTTGTGCAATCCTATGACCTTAATTAACTCCGGCAGATGCAAAGTGTGTATCTACACTTTCTTTTTTATTTTGAATGGATCTTTCATTAACAATATCGAAATCTTCATCATTTTTATTTTCACTTATACTTTTTGATAAATATGTCATAACTTTACTTCGACAGGTTGAACACAGTTTTTTTCCAGGTATAAGGTTTAAACATATGGTTTTCTGCTTCTAACACAGTATGCATTGTAATCACAAATAGTGATGCTTAAAAAGAAAGTAATTACATTACTTAAATAACATCCCAGTGGACACCGGAAAAAGACGTCTTTTGAACGTTGATAAGACGTCTAAAACGTTCAAAAGACGTTCAAAAGACGTCCAAAACATGTATAAGACGTTTAAAAGACGTCTTTTTTACATCCGTGCCCACTAGGATTAATTATATATATTATGTAATTATATTACCATACAATTTGTTATATTAATAACTATGAAACATTGAACAAATCTTATTACTAAAAAAACTAATACGGCTTATTAATAATGATATTACCTAATGAAATATAAATATATAAACTTTTGCTTCTACACACCTTTTGGTGACTCAGAAATGGATTACAGTAACTTTTCTGATTACCCTCATATCTTACAACTAACATATCATGATGGTGTGTGCATATATTAGTAATTTGTTCTTGTTTCAGATTTGTTTGTTTTTCAAGTAGCTTACGATCATTGCTGTCAATATCTTCAATCAGATTTTTTTCTGGAGTGTATGATTGTTTATAACAAGCTCCATAATTATTTACAAAGCAGCAATTAATTTTGTTATCCATATAAAAAATAATGAGGAATCTCTGACTAAACACTTAATACAAGAAATCTTAAATAATCTTAATGTCCCTAACAAGAAAAGTACGCTTGAACACAAACAATATCATATCAATATGTATTTATAAAAAACATATTGCTTGAACAAGTAGCTATTAGTTTAATAGACATATTTTAAATGTCGAACTATCTACTAATTATTGTAAATTCTCCGTTAACTACTTACAAAAAGTTGTGTAAACTTTTTGTAACTTTTTGTATTACAACAAAACAATCAACAACAAAAGTTACATAATATTGTTAAATTTAATGACATGATATTATGTTATGAAAATGACATTATTATTATGTGATGAAAGTAAAAAGAAACAAATTTATAAAATGTTCAACTATGTTTTGTAATAACTTTGTAATTTTTTTACAAAGCTATTACAAAACAAAAATAATTGTATTTGTATTCAAAATAGATTTGCAAATTTTTTTTTTTTTTTGCAAAATATCTTTAGAAAAATTGAAAAACGAAAACATCAATAACTCCTTAATAAAACATAAAGCCAAATAAAAATTGGTTCGCAAAGTAGATATATTTAAAATAACAAAAACCAAAACTTTTTTTCATCAGTCAGATTTTTTCTAGAACTATAGTTGTCAATGGCCTTTTTTATTGTCATTAACAAGTGCGTTTTGTGGATCTAAAAATAAACTATATTTTATTGTTTTGAGAGATATAAGTTTATGATTTTCAGATTTAGCAGGTTTTAAACTCCTTTGGTACCAAGTTTTAACTTCGCAACTGCAAGTTCGTTAAAAGGGTAATGGTAAATTGACATATTTCCGGCTTTATCCCCCCTCTTTTTTCAGTCAAAAAATAACTAACTTCAAGTTGCTGTAAATCTTAAAGGGTTAACAATTTTTTGAAAAAATTTTACAGTCTTTCCTAACTTATATCTTTAAACATTTGTGCCAAATTCAGCGAATTTGGTGATGCAGGGTGCAACCTCTTGTTTTTTGAGATATTTTTAACCATAGGTAATTTTTATTTAAAAAAAAAAGTGAAAAAGTTAAGAATCGCAAAATAAAAAACAGTAGTTTTCACCTAATACCGCATAATTCTACCATGAATTTTAAAGCACTCATTTATATGAATTGGCATTGAGTCTATTAAGTTCTCTAAAATATGTTTGGAAACATTTCCAAGTATTGTTGGTAAAATATTGCGCAACTCCTCTTGGGCCCTTGGTGCTTTTTTGGCACCAAGGGCCCTAGAGGAGTTGCGCAATAACTTTTCTCAATCTCTTTATCAAGCCAACTCCAAAGATTTTCAATGCAATTTAGATCTGGGCTATTTGTTGGCCAAATTAAACGCTCAATATTTTTGCTTTCAAACCATTTAGAGACAATTTTAGCCCTGTGACATGGTGCATTGTCTTGCTGAAAAATGAATGGAACGCTTTGCTCAAGTGCATTAATAGATGGTAACAAGTTGTTGTTTAAAATATCGACGTAATAAATAGAGTTGAGTCGACCATCAAATAATTTAAACATACCGAGACCATAATATGTCATGCAGTACCATAACCGACCCACTACCTTGTTTTGTTCTTTGAACGATACAATCGAGATTATACTTTTCTGAAGACTACCTGCAAATCATAATTCGGCTTTTTCGATTATCAACCTCGATATTCATCTCATCACTGAACATTTCTGTCCTCCATTTTTCTTTAGACCATTCTTTGACGCTTTGGCAGAATTCTTTTTGCTTTTTTATATGGTGTTTGGTAAGTCGCGGTTTTAGAACAGCTTTTTTCAATAACATATTGTGAGCTATTAGTTTCCTACGCACAAGTGATGTCGGTGCTTGACGTCCATTTGAAAGCTTCCAATCCCTTCTTAATTCAGGCGATGGCATGGTTTGATTTTTCTTTGCCAACCTGATTAAAAGACGATCATCCCTAGGTGTCGTCAAACGCGGTCTTCCAGAACAATAGCGATTAACGTAAAATTTCGTTTCTTTAAATTGTTTGATAATTGTTAGCACCGAACTATGTGATCGCTTTATTATTTTTCCAATTTCACGAGCAGTTTTACCTTCCTGGTGAAAATGCACCACTTTTACACGATCTTCATAGGTAAAAGTTTTTCTGCTCATTTTTTCAAAGGAAACGAATTTTTTTCTGTTTGAATTTAAATATTTTTTGGTTTTTGGTAATGGACTCAGGTCATAAATAGAATGTTTAAATAAAAAAGGTAAACATAAATTAAAATAAAGACGCTTTCGCCGCATTTGGCACAAGATATTCTTTGTGGTTCTTAACTTTTTCACAAAAAAAAAATTAACACTTAACATATAATCCTTATTTTTATAGGTTCTGTTAATCAATTTTCAAAATAAAAAAAAAACTTTTTTTTTTCTTTTTATGTTCTAATTAGTATGTTTGTAAAATTTTATTATCTTTAGAATAAAAGTTAATTAATTTTATTTGAAATTTTTTTTTTTTTTATTCAGTGGTTCTTATTATCTTGGTTTTTTTTATTCAGTGGTTCAACTTTTTTACAATACTGCATTATACACTTCCACAGTTCGCGGTTAATGATGGCGACTGCGCGTTCGAAGTTAGATGTTTTAGCTCACCTAGCTGATCGCCAAGGATTTTTATTTTTTTTTAATTTTTCAATTGACTCTCACCATTCAGATAACATTACTTATTGGATAGAGAATAGTTTATTTTCAGAAGTATCTTCGATTAGTCAAGATAAGAAAAAGGCGTTCTTGGAGGCAGAGTTTATGCTACTAAAAGGTTATCTAACTTCTAATAAAACAGAGAAATTTGCAGAATTATACAGCGCTATTAATTGCACTAATAAAGCCAATCCTAACTTCCATAAAACAGAGCATCAACTTCTTATGGAATCTATAAACACCTATATCTTATATGAAGAGAAAAAAGAATTAAGCAACAGCCAATTTAATTTGCTAAATTCTTTATTAAAAAGTAGTTTTGAAAAGTTAGATAATGAAAGCAAAACCTCTTTACAATCTACTCATCACGAGATAGTTCGAAGTCTTAATAAAATCGAAAAACAACAAGAACTGCTAGATAATGATCAAAATGTGTAAAAATAAATTGCAATTAGTTGTGAGTCTGAATTAGACAATATTTGAGTTTGACAATTTTTTATTTTTTCTAATAAATATTTTGAATTTCTTGTTTTAAATCTTGTTTTTGTTCTATCTTCTGTGCTCAGTTTCTCCAAATTCATCCTCAGGTGCTTCTGATCATGGTTTGATCTCTCTAAAACTATTATCTCATTCTTCTTTATCAGAATTTCCCTATCATCAAACCTCTTACAACTACCTTAAAGCTGACTGGGAATCTTTCTGTGATTTTCTTTGTGATAGCCTTTAGGTAGGAGTTTTTCGTCTTATTGCTGACAAATGTGCTTTTTATGTGACTTGGATTCAGGCTGGTATGGAATCTTTTATTCCCTCTCAACAATACCAAGTAAAGCCTCACTCTTCTCCATGGTTTTCCTCCTATTGTGCTGCTGCAATCTCCAATTGTAACCATTACTTTCATATCTATTGCCAAAACAATTCTCCAGAACAGATGTCTGTTCACTATTACTAGAAACCATTGTAAAAAGATTTTGTCTAACGCCAAAATCTGCTACTCTCAGGTCATGAAATCTCGTATTTCATCTGAAAAATTAGGCTCTTGAGACTTCTGGAGACTCTTTAGCAGTGTCAATAATAAGTGCAAATCTGTTATTCCTCCACTTTTATATACTTATAATTTTATACTTTTATAATCTGTTATTCCTCCACTTTTATTCCTCCACTTTTATTCAGATTTTGTTACTTCGTTACCTAAAGACAAGGCTGAATTGTTTGCTAAGAACTTTTTATCAATCTCATCATATTTCACAAATCACATCTTACCTGATATAGCTGACAAACAAGTTGATCAATTGCTTGACATTCGTATCACTCCTGCTTCTATATCCAAAGTGATTTCCTGCTTAGACTCTTCTACAGCTTGTGGTACATACCTGTTATAGTCTTGCAGAAGACTATACAGCTTGTGGTACATACCTGTTATAGTCTTGCACAACATACCTGTTATAGTCTTGCAGAAGTGTTTTCCCGAGCTGTCGTCTATACTTTCAAAACTATTCAAGTGCTTATCAGAGTCTTGTTTTCCTGCCTACTGTAAAGCAGCATCTGTTATCCTTGTTTTTAAAAATTCTGGAGAGCGATCTGACTTGTTTAGCTTCCATCCCATTAGTCTTCTTCCTCAAGATTCTATTCTTGCCCCTATTCTTTTTTTAATTTATATTAATGATCTCCATGAAATTCTTTCATCTAAGTGGCATTGTTTGCTGACGATACTACCATTTATTCTTGTCTTGATAAAAACCCAACTTTCTCTGATCACTTGGAGCGGGCATTTGACCTTGAAAAGGATTGTTTTTTTCCTCGAACATCAGTCCTTTGGAATTCGCTCCCTTCATCTTGTTTTCCTGAATCATATAATTTACAATCTTTTAAGTAGTCTGCTAATCGTTTTCTTGCTTTATAATCTTCATCTTTTCTTTTCTAGTAACTTCCAACTCTAGTAGTGGTTGCTTGCAGCCTTGTTGGAAGATGTTCAAAAAAAAAATTAATATAAATATATATACATATATATATATATATATATATATATATATATATATATATATATATATATATATATATATATATATATATATATATATATATATATATATATATATATATATATATATATTTATATATATATATATGTATATATATTTATATATATGTATATATATATATGTATATATATAGCATTTATATATATACAACTCCGAAAATAAAGAAATTGATTTTTTAAACAAAATAAAATATTTCTTACATTAGTTTCCATGTGTAATTGCTTATCTTTATTATTATTTATTATTTTAAAAAAATTATATAATTCAAAGGGCCAAGATTAGTATCTAACAAAAACCTTTAAATGTAAGAACCCTTATTTTTTTATATACTATGTAACATAAATTATGTAATAGCTAAAAAAATAAATAATTGTATATTTAAAATATGTTTAAATACATATATATAGATATGTACGTTTGTATCGGTGCATATAAAAACCTTTTTTATTTATTTTATAAAAAAGGTTTGTATATGCACAGATAAAAAACCTTTTTTTTGTTTTCAAAACTTTTGTGAGAGAACAACATTTAACCTAACCTTTAATTCAAAAAGAAACAACAAAAAAAAAACTTTGTTTTAGTTTTTGTTTAGATACTATACCAATGTGATAAATTCTTATTCTTCTTTTCCTACAACATTGCTGTTATTTGTTGTAAAAATTTTTATCATAGCTGTTGCCTGAGATAATTAATAACTCTAGCACACATATAACATTTTATTTCTGATTGTTCCCGTGTTTATATCAGAAACATTGTCATTCTTTAATAGTATATATACATGCAGTGCAATAAAAAAACCACACTAACATTTTTTCTTGATTTTAAGTATATATATTATCAAGTAAAACAAAAAAATGGGATGCAGCAGTGAAAAATCTAGGACAGAAAAGGTATGTTTTTATTTATACTAATATTTGTAATTTGAGTATATATACATATATATTTATATATGTATATATATTTTTATACATATATATATATATATATATAAATATATATATATATATATATATATATATATATATATATATATATATATATATATATATATATTATATATATATATATATATATATATATATATATATATATATATATATATATATATATATATATATATATATATATATATAAATTAGGTGTTTGTATACATATACATGTATATAAACACCTAATTTATTTAGTTCTTGTTTTAGAATAAAAGATTTCTGAACATAAATAAAACTTTTTTTTTTGAACTTATGGAATATATGTGATGTGGAACCATTGAATTGGTATGCAATTATCACATTTTATCTGAGAAATAAACCAAGTTTTGATTGCTTCAAATTTTGTCTTCATTAAAAACTAAATAATGATATTATAAAAATTTTTTTAAATATGTATTGAACACATTTATCTATTTTTATATTTTTAATTTTTTTGTCATTTTGATTTTCCACTAATGCATTATAATATGTCTTGTACTCCTTTCTATATGTGTCTACTTTATTAGTTGGAAACAACTGTAATAACATTATTTAAAAAGTTTTCAGCAAACTATAACAAAATTAAAACACCAAACACTTGTGAAAAGTAATATAGTTGTTGTTCATAAGATATTTTTAATCTACTTTATAGAAGAAGACATATTAGTTTCACTAATGTTGCCTTAAGAAAAAAATCTCCTCAAGATATGCTGCGGCTTTGCTTTGCATGTGGCAACGTTTGTATTTGAAATTTTTCGCTGACTCTGTATCTCTATTTTAAGTAGGTACTAAATTTTAATTGAAAATGAAGGTAAAAAAAATGAAGAAAAAAGTTTTATTAATTGTGCAGTCAAATACAAAAACATTTATTACATAAATCCGCTTATCGGATTTATGTAATAAATGGTCTTTTCTATTAGTTTTATTATCTGAAATACAATAGAAAATTAAAAAGTGTGTTTAAAATTTTATTATAAGTTTTACATAATTCTTAAATTTTATTGAAGAATTATGTAAAATTTATTTTAATTAATAAATTTTATTGAAGTTGTATTTATTGAAGCATACTGTCAGCGTCCAGTAAAAATTTGCAACCATGCAGCATATAATAGTATCTATTTTGAATAGCGCATCCTAAGTAATAAATAAAAAAATTGAATTTTATATAATAAATTTATAGATAAATACGTTAATAGAGAAATAGTGGTTGATAGATTAATAGAGGTATGGTGCTGGTTGTAACACACTGAGCCGTAATAGCCCTAGAGAAGTGAGGAAAAAACTGATTAAATAGTTTAAGTGTTAGTATAAAATTATCAAAAGTTGGGCAGATGTCCAGTGAAAAGTCAGAGATTACATAGATGATGATTGAGGAAGGGGGGGGGGGGGAAGAGGGAGGTATTGTCTGTGCTATTTCGCAAGATGCTAATGGAATGTTATCCAAGAGCGTATGTCAGTGGCCAAGGTATTGAATCAGGAAATGCTTGTATTGAGAAAACACAGACTAAAAATTACATCATATTATTTAAGAAATTAATTAAAAAAATAAATATATTATTTAAGGTGAAAGCCCCCTCTAAAATTATCAAAAAAAAAAAAAAAATTCAGTATGAGCCTATTTAGACATAAAAATTACCATAGATTTCATTTCTGTTAGTTATTTTTCATAGAAATTTTTCTAAACTGCAAATTTTTAGGTTTTTTCTATGTGTTGGTTTATCGAAAGTATTATTTTCCTGCCAAAAATAGTTTTTTCTAAATGCTGTTTTGAAAAGCGTTATTTGGGTTAGGTTGCTTCATTCTGTTGTACTTCATGTTCAGCTAATCAAAAGCAAGCGAGTTTAAGAGACAAAAACACACAAGTTAAAGTTATTTAATCAAGTAAAAGATGCCAAAAAATTGCATAGTAAAGCTTGAACCAAAGTTGCTTGAAGAAGACGTGGACCTTTTCCTGTCAAAAGTTCTTAAATTGCGAAAAAGAAGTTGTTGTTGATAGTGTAAATAAAGAATCTTCTAATATTTTAATAAACACTGACACTGATTCACTGTATGAACAATAAAATAAAAGTTATGCTTTTGATACTGCTGTAAATATCTCAACATCATATTCAAAAATACAACGAGTTGAATCTGCTTATAATAATCTACTGTCTGGATACAGATTTATAGATGTAGAAGAGTTATCTGACATTTTTAAATAATTGACTTGTCCAATGTGCCATAATGGAAAATCCCTTGTATTGCCTGACAACCTAAAAGATTGATATGGATTTGCCTCATTTTTAGTTTTAAAATGTTTGTCCCGAATATTTCATAAAAGTTTTTGTACTTCAAAAAAAAGTGGTAAGTAGGGGTACAACATAAATAAGCAAGTTGTTTACACAATGTGGTTGTTGGGTCATGGTCATGCAGGACTTAAAAAATTCCCCATTGCCCAGTAGGAGCGAAGAGTTAGTGCAAATATAATTCAGATAAAGCCAATGGAACAAATAAACCTGACCAGGTTTACACATAGATATTGTTTATAAAATCAAGCCAATCTTTGAGGAGGAGCTCAGTGCGGGTAAGACACAAAATGCTAATAAAAATTTTAATGGCACAATCTGGGAGCGTTTACCTAAAACAATGTTTATATCATTCAGTCAATTAGAACTTGGAGTTAATGATGCAGTGGCTAATTTTAATATTAGTAGAAAAGCCTCAATTTTAGTCTTTGAATCTCTGAGAATGATTTCAGGAATATATAATTTTAAAGGTTGTAAAAACATAAACTATTAACGACTGTCACGTGCCAAATACAGAAATGCTGATAAAAACAAGTTGCGACAAAAAATTGTTTGTGGCGGAAAAAAAAACAAGAATGATAAAAAAGATGAAAAAGAAGGGTAGTTATATGAAGCAGGAGGTTTATAGTACATTTTATTTGATTTTTTAAACTATGGTTTTTTTTTACCTAGATTTAACTTGTTTTTAAGTTATATTTGCAAATTTTATTTTTCATTTAGCGTTTTCTCAAAATAGTTTTTCACACGCTGGCCTTTCTATCTCAAGAACTGTTTCACCAATTTTAAGGAAATTTTGAGGAGTTGTTTCTCTTATTATGAGCTATGTTTTAATAGAACTTTTTTATTTTGAGTTTTAGATTTTGTTATTTTCAATATTTTGAATAAAGAATATTTCCCTTATCTTTGAATGTGCACACAGGACTCAGATTTTTAGTTATAAGAAAATGCCTCTTTTAACCTTTTGAGAAGCATTTGTAAAATAGTATTAGGATATCTTGCAAGGTTATTTGGTTTTTATGGCTGGCGTTAATGCATTTATTGCTCATTTTAAAGTTGTTGTTGTGGTTACTATGGCAACCAAAGACCATTTTGTATTTTTTTTCAAGGATTTTGTTTATTCATATTATATTGATGTTTTATATTCTTAATTTAAAATGTTTAATGCTTCTGTTTAGGAGGGGGGGGGTTCCCCCCTTAACAGAATTTTAATAATCTTTTAGTGTTTTTAGTGTTAGTGTTCAGTTTTTATGACCCAGCAAAGTTTACAGTCCCCTCAAATTGAGGGGGTTTAAAACTTAAGATGGTCATAATTTTCGAATAAAAAGAGATTATTGCATGAAAATTGAAATTTGTTGATGAATATAAATTTAGATAAAAATTTTAAAGAAAATATTTTATCAACTCATTGCTCCCATGTTACAGGCCGGGTGGGCACAAAAATTAGGGCTTTTTTGTTCCCAGGCTCTAATCACCGTAATTCTTTGCAAAACATTCTTATTTAGCATAGATATGAACATACAAAAGTTGGGAGTTTGCACAATGCCTGCAAGTGTCCAAACTCAACCATCAAAAAAGCGAGTGTACACCCCTGTGTGAGTATCATTGGTGGTAACTTGATAGGAAAAAGAAAGTTCGGGTTTTTGTCGATACACTGTTTAATTGCTTCAATTCCTTTTTTTAGGGTATGTTGGTGTACAGAGATGCAATGTCTCCGGTGACTAAAAGGAAGTTTTTGGAGGGAATTTCTAATTTTTGTAAGAGTTCTAATAAGTGTGTAGTGTCTCTTAGGTATGCCGGTAGGGTTTCATCTAGTGGTTGCAGGTATTTAGTCACATATTCGGACCTGTTGTCTGTTGGGCCTTAACGATCGGTCTGATAGGGAGGTATTGTTTGTGAATTTTTGGTAGGCCGTAAAAAAGTGGTGTTCGTCCTGGAAATTCAAGTCTCATGTAGTTGGCTGTACCTTCGTTTACGATGCATGTTTTTAATAGCTAATCAATGAGATTGTTTACTGTGTTGCTGTTTTTTTGTTGATGGGTCGTATTTAAGTGGTTCAAATGTTACCTCCTCTGAAAGTAGATAGTTCAATTTTTTTACATAGTCAATTGTGTTGAGGATGCAGATTCCCTCGCCCTTATCCGTTTCCTTGATAGTTAGGTTTTTCTCATTTTCAAGGCGTCTGATAGCTCTTATTAATGTTTGTTTGATGCTGCGTTTGTCTTTTATTTTGTTTTCTTGTAGGAGTTTGGCTATTGTCTCCACAATCTTAAAGTATCTATTGAGTTTTGTGTTTTTTGGTTCAGGCGGCATTTAAAGTGGATTTGGTCTTATTTATTGCTGCTCTCCTCTTTTTTGTTGGAGCTTTTGTTTTTTTTGAAGTTGAGTTGGAATGAATTTTTTTCTTGATTCTCCTAAATTGTGCCAAGTATATTTTCTCTGTTGTGGTTTGTGGTGATGGGATAAATTTTAAACCTCTGTCCAGCATTTCTAAAACTGTTTCAGATAGTTTGTAGCTAAAAAATTTATAGATAGTTTATAGTCTTAGTCTTAGGCTTTGTCTGAGTCTTTCTATTTCTTTTTCGAGTAGGAAACTGTATCTAGTAGTCAACTTTGACAATTAATAACTAGGACAATTTATTGGGTAAGGATTGAAACGCGGGAGTTAGCAATGCTAAAATAAGAAGTTCATGGCTTTAGTGTTGTTATTTTAATACGGTTTTCACAAGAGGCTTCAGCACATGCCACGAAATGAGGGTTTGGGTTTGAGAGGCTCTCCATTTATTTTTATGTATATGTTTTCCTGGACTAGCCTTGAATAAGAGTAGTGTTTCTTTTTTGGAACTTCATTTCATCTTATCTTTACGTATTTTACTGCATGAGTTTGGCGTATCTAATTAGTGAGTATTGCTTGGAGTGGTATAATTTCAGCGATTATCTTGATTTTAATTAGAAATTTGTGTCACGTGACTTGAAAGATGGCATTTTTCTAGTGGCTCTAGCAAAAGGCATTAGCACATGCAAGCAACTTAGGGTTCGGGTTTGGGCAGGTCTGCATTTGTTTTTATATAGAAACTCCGTTTCTCTGGGCTGGCTTAAAATAAGATTGGCATTTCTGCTTTGATATGTTATTTTATCTTGTCTTTAGGTAAATTGTCAGATCAGTTTTTAAAATTCTAATTGGTGTGTCTAGCCTGAAATAGAATAAATCTTGCAGGTTGTTTTGGATTTAATAAAGATTTTTGAGTCACGTTATCATAATAGTTTTATTTTGTAATTGTGGTTACAAGAGGCCTCAGCGACTGAGGGTATGGGTTTATGCTGGTCCCCATTACTTTTTTTGAAAAGATTATGTCTTCCTGGACTAGCCTATAATAAAATTAGTGTTTCTAATTGTGTTTCTATTCTGGAATTTCAGTCCCTCTTGCCTTTTACATAGTTTATTGGGCAATTTTGTTATTTCTAATTAGTGAGTCATGCCTAAAATGGTATATTTTTTGCAACCTCAGGGTTTTATTTAAAAATTTGTGTCACATAACTTTAGTAATGTCATTCTCTAATTGTGAAATAAGAGGCTTCAGCACATGCAACGACTGAGGGTTTTGGTTTGGGCAGGTCTCCATTTATTTATGTAAAAATATTATGTTTAACAGGACTAGCCTAAAATAAGAATTATTTCTCTTTTGGAAATAAATTTTGTCTTGTCTTAGAGTGGTTTGTCGCACAAACTTGACATTACTGAATTGAGAGTCTTACTTAAAACAGTATAATATGTGTGGTCATACTGAATTAAACTTAAAATTTGTGTTACAAGACTTTAGTAATGTCATTCCATGATTGTTAGACAAGGGACATCAGCACATGCAACAACAGAGGGTTTTGGTTTAGACAGGTCTCCATTTGTTTATGTACAAATATTATGTTTAACAAGGCTAGCATTGAATAAGAAATATTTCTCTTTTGAAAATAAATTTTGTCTTGCCTTGAATTGCTATCTCGCACAAGCTTGACATTTCTAAATTGTGAGTCTTACCTGAAACGGTATAATATCTGCAATCATGTTATGTTTATTTTAGAATTTGTGTCATGTGACTTTGGTAATGTCATTCTCTGATTGATAAATAAGAGGCTTCAGCACACGCCACGATTGAGGGTTTTGGTTTGGGCAGGTCTCCATTCGTTTTTGTATAAGTATTGTATTTTAAAGGACTAGCCTAGAATAAGAGAAATATTTCTCTTTTGGAATTTCATTTCCTCTTGCCTTAGCGTAGTTTGTTTTATAATGGAACTCAAATCATCAATGTGTCGAAATCAGTGCCAAAAGTCGAAGACCGGGAATACGATGAAAAGTAAATTAATGGTGGATTCGAACCTGAAACCCTTTGGAGTATAAAGCTACGCTCCAGTTGCGCGAGCTTTAATGGTTATGCACTGCCAAGTTATGACCTCACTACTAGAAATCCAATTACTACCTCTAGCCCTAACTATATATAACACTAGAGTCCTCCAATAATGATGCCATGGTGGACAAGCTGGGATCTGCTGAATGCAAAACTGTGATCCTAAATATGCCATTGGACATATTAAGAATCAATCTACACATATGTCTATAATCACATTGAATATATACATATACGCTCCATAAGCGCTCCCTTATGTATGCTAGGATCCATTGAAAACTGGTGTGAATGAAATAAGCAACTTGAATTTAGCAAGGAAAGTTACGTTAGGAAGGAGCTACCTTAACTTTGGCGTAACTTTAAAATATTTAATCTAAAATATTTTCTCTATTAAATATTAACTCTAAAATATTTTTTGTTAAGATTTGTGATAAGATTTTCTAAAGTAAGTGTATATGTCACTCAAACACACATAAACACACACAAACCTACACACTCATACACACATTTTATTGATATTATTACTTATTACACTGTAATAAAAATTACCTATTATACTATAATAACTTATTATATTATAATAACTTATTATGACTGTGGTTTAAAGAAGCTATAATAAAAACTATTTTTTGTTCACTTCAAATTAAAGTTTAATAGATTAGTTTATAAATGCTTCCTTTGCAGTAATAACTACATAATGTGCGAATATGTTTTTAACTAATTAGTCTACGAAGTAATTTTGCATTTGTAACTGCATACTTTGTTAAAGTGTTGTTTACTTATTATTTTATACATTTTGATATTTTGTTGGAATGAAAGATATAATTGGTAAGAAATAAAGCAGTATGAAACTGGTTTCAAATTTAAGTGTTTAATTAATTTTTTTTATGTTATATATTGAGCATTTATGATATTGAAGATAGTATTTTTAAGATTTCAAAATTGATGTTGAAGATGAAATTTATTAAATCCAAAATTAAAATTTTATAATTTTTTTTTTAATCAAAGAAGTACTATTCATTAACGAGATTTTATATATACCACACTTATAAGGTTTGTTTCTGGCTTTCATCTAATTCTATATTATTGTAGGTGACACTTCAGGAATTCCAGTCAAGTACTAGTGGCATACTTAGAGAGTTTTGTAATTGTTTTATCCAACACTTTTGTCACCTTGTTAAGTGGTATAGTAGTAAAGAGAAATGACTAGAAGAGGTAAAAAGAAAATATCTGCAATCTTGAGGCATTAAAGGGCTTCTTGGGCTAAATGATGGTACAATAGTACCTATTAAAGGAGTAACTGGAGCTGATGAGTCAGCTTATATTTGAAGGTAAAATTTCTCATTGAAATCAAATGATTCTTTTTATTTTTCTTATTGTGCCTTAGGTAACTAATCCATAAGTTAATACACAGAAAAAAGTTTCTTTGGTATACAAATTCAAAATATGTAGGGTGATTTGGGGCAATATGCGACAACGGGGAAGATGAGACAACTTTCTTTAGTCCATTCTAGAGATTGTAATCATCACAGTCCTTCATTAATATAAAGCATTTAGTTTATGGTTTTAGTTGCTAAGCTTAACACACCTGTTTTTTTAAATGTTTTATTTGTTTGATAACAAAATAACAGGTGTTTTTGTGACTTAGTGAAGCCATTACATTTTTTAACGTGTTTCTTAGTGAAGACATATTCAATGCCAGTCATATTCTTGATAAGTATTTAAAAGTACCAGTGTCGTGCTGCTTATTTTTTAAAAAAGATTTCTTTATTATTCATTTCACAAAAAGAAAAGAAAACTTAATTTGATTTGTAAGGTTAGAATTTTATGTTTTTAACACACGGTCTTTGTGGGAAAGATGAGACAGTCCATTATACAGTTGTTTTAATTTTTAGATTCTCTGATATATACTCAGAAAAATCAAAAAAAACCTTTTATAAACATTTTATGGTTTTTATGATCGTTAGAAATTACAAATGAAAAACAAATCGTGGAAATTGGGATAAAAGCAGTATGAAATTAGCTATCCAAGCTGTCAAAAATAAAGAAATAACATTACATAAAGCTGCTTATGAAAATTTGGTTCCAAAAGGTTCCTTCAACAGAACAGTTAATAGTTCAATAAAAATGCCTGATAATAAATCACACATAAAATTACACAGAAAAAAAGATTAAACTAAAAAAATATGATAAAATGATATATAGAGAAAACCAAAAAATTTCAGAGTCTGACCAGAAATGTGTCCAAGATATAAATTATGGTACCATGAAGTTTATTTTGTTAAGTAAGGGACTGAGTTTTTGTGTAAACTATGTGGATGCCATGATTATATTTAAACATTCTATGATCCATGAATTTATGCCTTATAGTTCAGTATAACTTGTGCAACAATTTGTTTGGGTGGTGCTCAAGTTTCAACCATATTTCTAGGCTAACTTAGCTGTGGTTAGGTTAGCCAAGCAGGTTGATTTTTTAAGCTAAAGTTACTATATTTTTATGAAATATATTTAACATCTTTTATTATAAAAAATAATTGGATAAGTCTCTTATTTTTTCTCTTTAGATGCATAAGATATGCTGTCTCGTTTTGCCCCGTAAGGTGGGAAACATGAGACACAATGTAACTATTTTTAAAATCCTCTGTGTATCCAATTAAAAATGATTTTAAAAAATTAACTCATATGTTTTGAAAAGAGTTACTCTAAGTAAGATTTATTGTACACTTGTTTAATTTTTTGCTTAATTCCAGGCCTATTTACATAATTTTTAATCCTTAAGTGTCTCGTACTGCCCCAAATCACCCTAAAAGAAAAAATCCTCTCTTATGTCATAATTGTAAATAAAAATAAGTTTATTATAAAGTATTAAGTTTAATTGATAAAATTACCTGGTGTAAAAATACCTGCTGGGTATAATTTTGACATAATTCTCAGACCATATTAAGACTAATATTGTGTGGGGAAAGTACTAATTTTAAAGTTTTTTTTTCACAAAAATGCTTGATGCTTTAAAATTTTAAAAACCTTTTAACATGTTTTTTGTATTTTCTTTGTAAGCTCTTTGAAAGCAGAACATTTACAAAAAGGTTTCCTTAACTGTTTATCATTTTAAATCATTCTCAGATTTTAAAATATTCAAAGGTTTTTATTATACATGTTCTTTATTATATATATATATATATATATATATATATATATATATATATATATATATATATATATATATATATATATATATATATATATATAATTATATTTTGACTTGTATCTTTTAGAAAACGATATCCTTCTTTGAATTGTCAAGTTGTTGATCCAGATCGCAATTTTAGAGATGCTGTGATAAAGTATCCTGGTTCATGCCATGATGCATTTATTTTTTCAAGTTCTATTCTGAAACAGATATTAGAATTAGATCCAGCGCAGATTTTCTTTTTGGTGACTCTGGATATGGCTTGTCACCAGTCTTGATAACTCCATTTAGTGTGCCAATATCACCAGGAGAAGAATATTTTAATCATGTTCATCGGCTGGCACGTAGTGAAGTAGGACGGTGTATTGGCCGTCTTAAAAACCATTGGAGGTGCTTACACAAAATTGGTGGAGCACAACAGTACACCCCAACAATGTGCTGCTATATAACTTTTACCTGTGCTATACTGGAAAATATATGTAATTCCATAAGCTTAGTGGATCTAGTTGATTTTGAGCTTAATAACAATGACAATGATAGTAATGCTCGATCTGAAACAAGAGTAACTAATCGAACTCGACTTGGTATGGAAAGAATAGTTCAAATAAAAAATGATTTGTCTGCTATTCAAAGACTTTGACATATTTTATAAATTTTCATTTATTTTAGTTGTAAAAGGATTCTACTATTATTATATTGTATATCTATTATCTATATTTTATATTATATATTATATTATTATTATAATATACATTATTATTATATATTTAAGTCTTAGTTTTGGTTTTATCTATTAATTAAATAAGTTATTACGGAAACCCCAAAAGTCACGTTTTTTTATTTTTGTGTCAAAAGAATGTATTTTGATCAAGTATGTGAAGAAAAAAAATTTAATAAATGGATACAAAAAATGTTTTAAGGAAACAAAAAAACAATTTTAGATTAATGCTTCTTGCACATCACAAATTTTATGAAGTTTCTGAAATAAGTGTTGTTAAAAACAAAAATGTGATATCTGCTTTAAAATTTTGTGTCAAGTTTAAAGTTATTTTCCTTATTAGCCAAATGTTGGTAGAGTAAAAAAATTGCTATAGAAATTAAAAAGTAGTTTAGTTTATATAATAGTTAAAACCTTTTAAAAAATACAAATGCTTAATTGATACAAATATAATTCCTAGTTTGATTAAGTTAAAAACGTAGACATTTGATATTTCTTTTAAATCTAACTTGATAGATTTTTTGCGTAAGTTAAGCGTAACTTCTGCGCAGCTTTAACGCAAGCGTTGCGGGGTAATTCAATGTCAAATCAGCAGAAAAAAACAAAAAATGTCACCCCATGTTTTGAATTTTGCTAATTTTTTTATATGCCATAGGGTTTATAAAAATTAGGAAAATATGAAATTTGGAACTTACGGTTCTTAAGATATTCAGGATTCAATTTTCTTATTTATGCTGACTCAGCATATTTTACAAAATACTTTTTTGTTGATTTTGTTTATATGTTTTTAGAATAATTTTTAATTAATTATAACTATATTTATTATTTATATTTTTCAAAGCTTCACCCAATAATAATAATAATCGATGTGTACATAAATTAACTGATATGGCAGTAATTGCAATATAGTTGCATACATCGACTGATTTAAATAAGTATGGAGGATGTGGAATATACATATTTTTTTTTTTTTTCACTCTTATAGAAGTATAGTTCTATAGGCCTGTAGTTCAATATAAAGTTGTATAAATTAACAGTGACTAAACAAATAATCAATCTCTTTCAACAAATCAATAATCTTTTACTTTTTTGTTGTTAAATAGCAACATTTTATGAACCAAATGAGGCACCATCCTGAAATTTTGTACAAAGACAATCATCCACATGATGGATACAAATTTCCATTTCAAAAGTTTTTTGACCGCCATAACTACATGTAAATTAGATAACAAAGGCATATATTTTGGGGTATTTCGACGGTCAAAATGGTGATGTCACCTTGATAATTTTTTTTAAGGCGTTGTTATAACTTACAATAAAGGTATCAAACATCACTATTATCTAAAATTATTTTACCTAAAAAAACAAAAAGACAAGTGACTACTTAGTCATTTGTCTTTATGTTTTTAACAAAAAAAAAAAAAAAAAAAAAATGGGGAAGAGGGATTGATAAAATGCTTAATCCCCCCTCCCCTTTAGACCATGAGCCCTCTCTAATTACAAAAAAAAAAATAATATATATAAATTTATTATTGCCCCTAAAAAGACTTCAACAAGAACTTTTTACAACATAAAATTAAGATTTTGCAAGTTTTGTCATTAATAAGTTAGAAATAAATTTTATGCTGACTCAGCATATATATAAGCTTTACTTAAAAGGCTGCATTAAGAAAAGTTGAAAAATGCAGTCATATATTTTTTATTATTAGTGATGTTTGATACCTATATTGCAAGTTATAACAATGCCTCAAAAAAAAATTTCAAGGTGACATCATTTTAACCGTTGAAATACCCCAAAATATATGCCTTTATTATCTAGTTTACGTGGTCAAAAAAATTTCTAATTTGAAATTAGTATTCGCGATGTGGATTGTTTATGTACAAAATTTCAGGATGGTACCTCATTTAGTTCATAAAATATTGCAATTTAACAACAAAAAATTTTTTTTTTTAAAAATCTTGAGTCAGCATAAATATGAAAATTGAATCCTAAATATCTCAAGACCCATAAGAGGTTGGAGATTAAAAATTTCAGATTTTCTTAATTTTTATAAACCCTATAAGATATAAAAAAATTAGCAAAATCTAAAACATGGGGTGACATGAGCCTGCTGATTTGACGTGGAATTACCCTGCGCAAAGTTTATGAATACCAAATAGTTACAAAAAAAAAATGAACTGCTAACTGCAGAATAGAAACATGTCCACAAAATTCAAAAGTTCACTTTTTAACATAAATCAGTTCTAAATGGCTAGACACATCATTTACTGCTAAAGGGATAAACCTGCCATTATTTTTACTGGTACGGATTTTGCGTTTACCGCAGAAAGGAAACAAGTCCGGGACTTGTTCCCTTTCTGCGGTAAACATTAGAAACATAAGATAATAACATCTTGCTTGTGACTTAAACAATTCATTGTTAAAAATGAGTTGTTCAGATGAAGATGACAATCCTTTAAAGAGAAGAAAGAAAGGAGTTGTTAATTCAGACAGATATAAAAGGAATGTAATCAAGAAGGCTAAAGTGGCAAGAAAAGAACATATAAGCATTGTTGGAAAAACAATACCAGCCAAGAAACCAGCATCCAATGTTTTCAGGTAGCTTTTATCGATTTATTTGTATTAATTGTTATAATATTTCAGTAATGTCCATCCAGAAAGCTTTTTAAATACTGTTATATGCCTTGTCTTCTGCATAAAATAAATTGGCTGAGGAAAATGCACAACACTTGTAGCTTTCTGATCGTTGTGTTTGATTATATGTCATAAAATCAAACTAGGCTACCTTAGAATTAATTACAACTACATAAATAAAGCCATGTAACCAATTAGTAGTCTAATTTCCTAATTAATTAGGAAATGCGAGGGTTTTTAATAGAAACCTAGCTTATGTGTTTTCAAACATAGATATTAAAACATAGATAGACTCAACTTTTTCTTTTTTATTTCAGCTGCAAGGAAAACTGTTTGAAGATACACAGCGAATGACATGGTGGAAATATTTACCAAGCTACATGATAAGGAAACCAAAATTCAACAAGACATCTACTTGCAGTCGCTAATGGAGGTTTCCTAGTTAACCGTCAAAGATCTAGACCAGATCTAGGTTCTTTTTCTGCAAAACCTAAATCTTTCGTAGTGAAGTACCATATTGTGCACAATGAGATTCGTACTAAGATATGTAAAAATGGATTTATGAAATCATACGGATGTACTTGCAAACAGTGTTACAGGCTCTTCAATTTGTTAAAGCGAACCAAAACTCCAGCAGATAAAAGAGGCAGAAATGTTTCTGTTAATGCCATTCCTGGCACTGTAATCACTCGTTTGAGAGCTCATATTGAACAATATCCTACAGAAACTGATCACTATACTGGAAGAGATAAAGAATACTTACCAGCTAATTTAAACGTAAAAACCATGTATGAGATGTTTATAAACAAACAGAAATATTTCCTTTTAACTATATTTAACAGTGAGAAAAGGCTGTCATATAAATTTTTCTGGCATTATTTCAAATAGAGTTAGGTTTTGGTCAACCTGCAAAAGACGCATGTATTGCCTGTGAGGATCTTAAGTTGAAAATAAAAAGTACTTTTCTTTATGACAATGAGAAAAGACATGTAATAGCAGGGCTACCACAATAGGAGGGCTAAAATGTTTTAAAATTAAATAAAAAATACTACAGAGAAATGCATAAAAGACCCTAAACAAGTTGGATTATGTGTAGATTACATGTCTAATGTGACATTATCGTGCATTCCAGTAAAAGATACTTATTATTTCAGGAAACTCACAGTAAAATTCTTTGGAATTCCCGAAAAATGACTGTTTTTATTTATCATGAAGGCGAAGGAGGTAAAGGTTCAAACGAAGTTGTTCTATGTATGCTCTATGTATGCTCGAAGTATGATCTATGCTTATGTGATACATTAAAAACAAAATTTCAGATTAAGTTAAAATTTTTCACCTTTATGGTGACAACTGTGCTGGTCAAAACAAGAACCGCACCATTGTTAGATTTATGATGGCGCAAATTTTACAAGAGAACATGCTTAAGCAATGACTCTTATGGGAAAAATGTACTAAAATCAAACAAAATAACATTTTCAATCTCAAAATATCGTGAGATGTCAGTTTCTTCTGATGAACCAGGGAAGATTGAATGCAGTATGCATATTGCTGGATTAATAAGTCACATTTTTGGCTTACGAAACACTATAGGGGACTTTGAACTACCAACTAATAAAACCTATTTAGCTGTATTATCCTTCAACCACTTAAAAATTGTGGATATAAAGAAAACTTTGGTTTATATTCCGGATGAAAAGCTCCGATTTGGAATAAAATAACGTTATGGCCTTTAACTACTGCGTCCATTCAAGAAGATCAACCACCTGAATAAATAACGTTCTTAAGTTGTACTGTGCATTTTATTATGATAATAAAACAATAAAATAGCACTAAAATAAAATAGCAATAAAATAAAGCACTTTTTAAGATTTTAGTAGGTCTTTTTTATTTTAAAACCTCATTTACTGCAAAAAGGGAGCATGTTCATGTTTAAAAATATGTCCTACACTCAAAACAAAGTATATTTAAAGAATTATGAATATCTTTCAGACCCCTACTAACTGTTGAATAACTAGGAAAAAATTGAAAACCCCAAGTTTAAAAATAAAGGGTCAAAACAGTTTTTTGTCTTTCCAGTAAAATTAGAATTTGAGGAGTTGTTGCCTTTCTGCGGTTAGCGATTCAAATGAACTTACGATTTCCGTAAATTACGCAAGAGTTACGAAAGTTTTGTGAATCCGCATCCTGTTGATTTAAGTTTATTTACTGGGCTTAAAATTTTGTTTTTATCCTGATAATTTAAAAGCTTTAGCACGATTGATCTTGGTGTTTTACTATTTTTAGTTGCACCGACTTGGCGCGCTCGTTCAACAACTACTTCATCTAATATATTCAGTTTTGTTTTAAAAATGC